TTGTAAACATGACAACATGGGGGACTCTTCAAGGGGGAGGAAGACTTTTTCCAAGGCACAGTATATACTGTATACCATAGTTTGGAGACTCTATAACTTTCACACAAACAGAATAAATATACACTGATATGGGTTATTTTTACTATAGAAATGTATGAAGAAAGATTGTTTTTTTTTGCTAAATTTTATAACAAAGAAAAATAAATTTTTATTTATATAATGTTCAGTCTTTTTTCACTTATTATAGCAACACATAAAAAAACCCCAGTGGTGATCAAATATCACCAAAAGAAACCTGTATCTCTCTGTATGATAATTATATATAAATGAAATAAACATTTTGTTTGGGTACAGCGTTGCATGACTGAGTAATTGTCATTCAAATTGTGACAGCTCTGAAAGCTGAAAATTGGCTGGGGCAGGAAGGGGGGGAAAGTGTCCGGTACTGAGATGGTTGTTTTTTTCATAGATGTAATCAATAAATATTGATTGTTTTACGTTTCAGCTCTCTTTGACTATCCAACATTTAGGGATGTAAAAATCCTAATATGCTTTGCTAGCCAAAATATAGTAGTTTTAGTGTTTTTTAGATATACATATAAATGAGATCAATTCAACACTTTGGCTGCCAATTATGTCCAATCAAAGGGTTTAAACAAGTTCAACATGAGCGTATTTTTTCCATTTAGCACATACCTGCTTGTGGGTCCCTTTTCTTTGCAGCAGTGATATGGCTACTTAACAGGTGAGATCTTCCACTTTACGTCATTGGGGGCTGGTTCCTCACACAAGGATGGTATGCAACGTGGAATTGTCAAGGGTGTTCCATCAATGAGCCTAGTGCCATTTTGGTAAGGTCAGGGGTCGTCTGGAGAAGGTTTCTGCTCTGTTGAATGAAAGGCGCTAGCACCAGCTTATTTTGGTGCATTTGGTTGGTGGACGATGGCATGGTGCTCCACAGCTGAGCCTAACAAAACTTCTGCAACTTCTGTTGCAGATGAGGGGACACGCTCTTGATTGGTTCCAAGGGTGGAGGTGGAAGGACACTGTTGAGTGTTTTTGCCAGGAGAGATGAAGGACACTGGTGCCAGGGTGCCAGTAGAAGATGAAGGACAGTGCCAAGTGTTTCTACTGGGAGGGAAGGGTTGCCAGGGTAGGAGAAGAAGGACACTGCTGATTGTCTCTACTGCAAGGGGAAGGGGATGGATGCCAGGATAGGAGAAGAAGGACACTGCTGAGTGTTTCTACTACTGCAAGGGATGGGTGCCAGGGTGGGGCCAGAGGAGAAGGACACTGCTGAGTGTCTACTGAAGGGATGGGTGCCAGGGTAGGAGAAGAAGGACACTGCTGAGTGTTTCTACTGCAAGGGATGGGTGACAGGGTAGGAGGAGAAGGACACTGCTGAGTGTTTTTGCTGGGAGAGATGGATACCAGGATAGGAGGAGGACACTTCTAAGTGTCTCTACTGGGAGGGATGGATGCCAGGGTAGGAGGAGAAGGACACCGCTGAGTGTTTTCTACTGCGAGGGATTGGTGCCAGAGTAGGGGGAAAAGGACACTGCTGAGTGTTTCTGCCGGGAGGGATGGGTGCCAGGGTAGGAGAAGACGAACACTACTGAGTGTTTCTACCGGGGAGATAGGTGCCAGGGTAGGAGAAGAAGGACACTGCTGAGTGTTTGTGCTGGGAGGGATGGGTGCCAAGGTGTAAGAGAAACCACACTGCTGAATGTTTCTGACAGAAATTGATGGGTGCCAGGGTAGGAGAAGGAGGACACTGCTGCTTGTTTCTGCAGGAAAGATGGGTGCCAAGGAAGGAGAAGAAAGACGCTGCTGAGTGTTTCTACTGCAAGGGATGGTTGCCAGGGTAGGAGGAGAAGGACACTGCTGAGCCTTTCTACTGCAAGGGATGGTTGCCAGGGCAGGAGGAGAAGGACACTGCTGAGTGTCTCTACTGAGAGGGATGAGTGCCAGGGTAGGAGAAGAAGGACACTGCTGAGTGTCTCTACGGAAGGGATGGTGCCAGAGTAGGAGGAGAAGGACACTGCTGAGTGTTTCTGCCAAGAGGAATAGGTGCCAGATAGAAGAAGGACACTGCTGAGCCTTTCTACTGCAAGGGATGGGTGCCAGGGTAGGAGAAGAAGGACACTGCTGCTTGTTTCTGCAGGAAGGATGGGTGCCAAGGAAGGAGAAGAAATACGCTGCTGAGTGTTTCTGCCAGGAGGGTTGGGTGTCAAGGAAGGAGAAGAAGGACAGCTGCTGAGTGTCTCTACTGGGAAGAATGAGTGTCAGGGAAGGAGAAGGACACTGCTGAGTGTTTCTGCTGGGAGGGATAGGAGCTGGGGCAGGAGAAGGACATTGCTGAGTGTTTCTGCTCAGGATAGGTGTCATTGTAGAGGAAGAAGGACATTGCTGAGTGTTCCTGTCAGGAAGGATGAGTGCCAGGGTAGGATGGAGAAGGACACTGCTGAGTGTTTTTCTACTGCAAGGGATGAGTGCCAGGGTAGGAGGAGAAGGACACTGCTGAATGTTTCTACTGAAGGGATGAGCTGCCAGAGTAGGAGGAGAAGGACACTGCTGAATGTTCTACTGCCGAGAGGAATAGGTGCCAGGGTAGAAGACGACACTGCTGAGTGTTTCTACTGCAAGGGATAGGTGCCAGGGTAGGAGAAGAAGGACACTGCTGAGCGTTTCTACTGGAAGGGATGGGTGCCAGAGTAGGAGTAGAAGGACACTGCTGAGTGTTTCTGCCAGGAGGGGGTAGGTGCCAGGGTAGAAGAAGGACACTGCTGAGTGTCTCTACTGGGAGGGATAGGTGTCAGGAAGGAGAAGAAGGTTACTGCCGAGTGTCTCTACTGGAAGGGATGGGTGCCAGGATAGGAGAGGACACTTCTGAGTGTTTCTGCTAGGAGGGGTAGGTGCCAGGGTAGGAGGAGAAGGACACTGCTGAGTGTTTCTACTGCAAGGGATGGGTGACAGGGTAGGAGGAGATGGACACTGCTGAGTGTTTCTATGGGAGGGATGGGCACCAGGGTAAGAGAAGATGGGAGAATACAGACTGCTTTTGCCTTTACCAAAAGATGGAATTTTGGTATCTCCTACCATTTTCTTCCATAATACAGTCTATGGTCACATTGCATGATCCCTGAACGTTTTCTCCTCATTTTTCTTTACAGGAAAGTATGTCTTTAAAGTGAGTTTAAAGAGCTCTTCATCTGTTGCTTCTACGATGAGACCCCTTTTAGAGAAGGTAAAACACTTTAGAAAACACTGTTTGCATTTAACATGATAATCTAATACATCTTTTCTAACCTTTTTATACTAGAGGAGCCCTTAAAATAAATAAATGGATTCAGGGTACCCCTTCAAAAGCCAACTCCCAGAGGACAATGGGGGAGAAATGCCCCTACCATTGGTGGTCAGTGGGAAGGTCCCTTACATTGGTGTCAGTGGGAAGAATGTCCCTTCCGTTGGGGGTCAGTGGGAAGAATGTCCCTTTACATTGGTGATCAGTGGGAAGAATGTCCCTTACATTGGGGATCAGTGGGAAGAATGTCCCTTACATTGGTGATCAGTGGAAGAATGTCCCTTACATTGGGGGTCAGTGGGAAGAATGTCCCTTACATTGGTGATCAGTGGGAAGAATGTCCCTTACATTGGGGGGGTCAGTGGGAAGAATGTCCCTTACATTGGGGGTCAGTGGGAAGAATGTCCCTTACATTGGGGGTCAGTGGGAAGAATGTCCCTTACATTGGGGTCGGTGGGAAGAATGTCCCGTACACTGGGGATCAGTGGGAAGAATGTCCCTTACATTGGGGGTCAGTGGGAAGAATGTCTCTTACATTGGGGGTCAGTGGGAAGAATGTCCCTTACATTGGTGGTCAGTGGGAAGAATGTCCCTTACATTGGAGGTCAGTGGGAAGAATGTCCCTTACATTGGGGGTCAGTGGGAAGAATGTCCCTTACATTGGGGTCAGTGGGAAGAATGTCCCTTACATTGGGGGTCAGTGGGGGAAGAATGTCCCTTACATTGGTGGTCAGTGGGAAGAATGTCCCTTACATTGGGGGTCAGTGGGAAGAATGTCCCTTACATTGGGGGTCAGTGGGAAGAATGTCCCTTACATTGGGGGTCAGTGGGAAGAATGTCCCTTACATTGGGGGTCAGTGGGAAGAATGTCCCTTACATTGGGGGTCAGTGGGGGAAGAATGTCCCTTACATTGGGGGTCAGTGGGAAGAATGTCCCTTACATTGGGGGTCAGTGAGAAGAATGTCCCTTACATTGGTGGTCAGTGGGAAGAATGTCCCTTACATTGGGGGGTGGGAAGAATGTCCCTTACATTGGGGGTCAGTGGGAAGAATGTCCCTTACATTGGAGATCAGTGGGAAGAATGTCCCTTACATTGGTGGTCAGTGGGAAGAATGTCCCTTACATTGGTGATCGCCTCCAAGACTGTACTCTTACACACTTCTATACCCCCCAACACTTACTCCTCCAACACTGTACCCTCACACACCTCTGAAAAACCCCCCAACACACCTCCTCCAGTCACTGTACCCTCACACACAGCTCTGTACCTTACCCCCTTGGGGTCCTTACACAGATGGGAACATCTCCCCCAACACTATACTTGCACACAACTCTGTACCCCCCCCCAACACACCCTCCTCCAGCACTGTACCCTCACACACAACTCTGTACCCCTCCAACACACCTCCTCCAACACTGTACCCTCACACACAACTCTGTACCCCCCCAACACATCTCCTCCAACACTGTACTCTCACACACCTCTGTACCCCCCAACACTGTACTCGCACACAACTCTGTACCCCCCCAACACACCTCCTCCAACACTGTACTCTCACACACCTCTGTACCCCCCCAACACACCTCCTCCAACACTGTACTCTCACACACCTCTGTAACCCCCAACACACCTCCTCCAACACTGTACTCTCACACACCTCTGTACCCCCCAACACATCTGTACTCTCTCACACACCTCTGTACCCCCCAACACTGTACTCTCACACTCCTCTGTACCCCCCAACACTGTACTCTCACACTCCTCTGTACCCCCAACACTGTACTCGCACACAACTCTGTAACCCCCAACACATCTCCTCCAACACTGTACCCTCACACACACCTCTGTAACCCCCAACCCACCTCCTCCAACACTGAAGGCAACACTGTAAGCATGTTTTCAAATTTTAGTGCATCCTTCAAGTGAGTCACCAGGTGCTTCTCAAAGAGCAGCCTTCTTCCTGGATCTCTCCAGTATGGGGCCTTTCCTAAGTCTCCTCCAGACCAGACAGGACTGCTTCAGGACCACTTCAGCACATGTTAGGACTCCAAACAGGAGCCAGTTTCACGCAGAATTTCACGTTTGCTCTTTGTTCTAACTTGCTGTCCATGATGAAATAGCAGATGTGGTAATGCACGTGGACAGAATAGCACCAGTTGCACAGCTCCCAATGTACACAGGACAATGTCTTTTTGGCACAATGACTTATGAATGTCGGTGCTCCCTATGACTGCGCATGCAGCCTTGTGCTTCCATCTGTTGGTGTGTTACTTTTGATACCACCTCGCACTTTTATATAAAAGTGGCTCCCAACAGCATCACTCATATCTCTGTTTTCTTCCACAGGTGTGCGCCCTGCTAAGCCCTAAATTTAACATCTCAGGTATTCGTGTATCCATAGTAGGGAACAGCAACATCACAAGTATATGCACTTGATTATGTCAACAACACCTTCCATTTTTGGACACAAAACCTCTGCCGTCCATCAAAGCAGTGCGGATGAGGAGGATATTTTTAGTCTTTTTCTATAAAAACATAAATATGGAGACTTTACGGTGCCCCTGTGCATTGTCTGACCACCAAGCTGGTGAAAAAGCTTATGAAGATTATACTATGGAAAATATTTATGGCATCCACAACTCCGTATGTTTGGATATTTATGTACCTTCTCTGTACAGTGTATCCTGGACATAATCTGCCATCTTAGACAGAGGAACCAAAATGCGGAGGAATTCTTTCACCTAAATATGAGACGTTTGGCAGTTGGTGGGGTCACCACAACTCCAAGTAGTTGCAGGACCATTACTGACTAGATCTACGGAGGCCCAAGAACTCTGAAATGTTTCCCTTTTTATCTTCCATAGTGGGCTACAGGGTTCCTAGAAGATGAAGAGTAACTGAAGATACCCAGGACACATCCATGCCCTTACTAATTCTTTCTATGGCCTTAAGAGGTCCTTCCTGAGAGCTAGACCATGAGATGGGACCTGGCCAAAAATGTCACTGATAGACCACTCTAGGAAGTACAATGCGTTTCCCTGTTTTTAATTTTAATTTATCAATTGTTTGAAAAGGAACCAAACATTTCTTTTAACCCCTCGCCTACCGGGCACTTCTACCCCCCCCCCTGCCTACCGGGCACTTCTACCCGCTTCCTGCCTACAGGGCACTTCTACCCCCTTCCTGCCTACCGGACACTTCTCCCCTTTCCTGCCTACAGGACACTTCTACCCCCCTTCCTGCCTGCCGGGCACTTCTACCCCCTTCCTGCCTACAGGACACTTCTACCCCCTTCCTGCCTGCCGGACACTTCTACCCCCTTCCTGCCTACCGGGCACTTCTACCCCCTTCCTGCCTACCAGGCACTTCTACCCCCTTCCTGCCTACGGACACTTCTACCCCCTTCCTGCCTACCGGGCACTTCTACCCCCTTCCTGCCTACCAGGCACTCCTCTCACCCCCTTCCTGCCTACCGGGCACTTCTACCCCCTTCCTGCCTACGGGCACTTCTACCCCCTTCCTGCCTACTGGGCACTTCTACCCCCTTCCTGCCTACAGGGCACTTCTACCCCCTTCCTGCCTACCGGACACTTCTACCCCCTTCCTGCCCAGGACACTTCTATACCCCCTTCCTGCCTACCGGACACTTCTACCCCCTTCCTGCCTACCGGGCACTTCTACCCCCTTCCTGCCTACGGGCACTTCTACCCCCTTCCTGCCTACCGGGCACTTCTACCCCCTTCCTGCCTACCAGGGCACTTCTACCCCCTTCCTGCCTACCGGGCACTTCTACCCCCTTCCTGCCTACTGGGCACTTCTACCCCCTTCCTGCCTACTTGGGCACTTCTACCCCCTTCCCTGCCTACCGGGCACTTCCCCCCCTTCCTGCCTACCGGCACTTCTACCCCCTTCCTGCCTACCGGGCACTTCTACCCCCTTCCTGCCTACCGGGCACTTCTACCCCTTCCTGCCTACCAGGGCAACTTCTACCCCCTTCCTGCCTACCGGACACTTCTACCCCCTTCCTGCCTACCGGACACTTCTACCCCCTTCCTGCCTACTGGGCACTTCTACCCCCTTCCTGCCTACCGGACACTTCTACCCCCTTCCTGCCTACCGGACACTTCTACCCCCTTCCTGCCTACCGGACACTTCTACCCCCTTCCTGCCTACCGGGCACTTCTACCCCCTTCCTGCCTACAGGGCACTTCTACCCCTTCCTGCCTACTGGGCACTTCTACCCCCTTCCTGCCTACCGGACACTTCTACCCCCTTCCTGCCTACCGGACACTTCTACCCCCTTCCTGTCTACAGGGCACTTCTACCCCCTTCCTGCCTACGGACACTTCTACCCCCTTCCTGCCTACCAGGCATTCCCTACCCCCCCCTCCTGCCGGACACTTCTACCCCCTTCCTGTCCAGGCCATTTTTCAGCTTTCAGCGCTGATGCACTTTGAATGACAATTGCGCGGTCATGCAACACTGTACCCATATGACATTTTTATCATTTTTTTTAGACAGACAGAGCTTTATTTTGGTGGTATTTAATCACCTCGGGGTTTTTTATTTTTTGCTAAAACACAAAAACCACAACTGAAAAAAAAAAGTTTTTGTTATAAATTTTGTAAATAAGTGATTTTTTCCTTCACTGATGTGTGCTAATGAGGCTGCACTGATGGGCACTGATAGGTGGCACTGATGGGCACTAATGAGGAGGCGCTGGTAGGTGGCACTGATGGGCATTGACAAGCATCACTGATGGGCACTGAAAGGCAGTACACATATATGGCACTGATAGGCGGCACTGACTGGCACTGATAGGCGGCACTGACTGGCAGTTATAGCACTGGATAGGTGGCACTGACTGGCAGCACAGATAGGTGGCTCAGATGGGCACTGATATGTGGCATTGATGTGGCTCAGATATGGGCACTGGCAGGTGATATTGATGAGCACTGACAGCTGGCACTTATGGACACTGACAGGTGGCACTGATGGGGCTACATTTATCATCAGGGAACACTGATCATTACATGCCCTGATTATCAGTGTAGATATCCCCTCTGAGGAATGCCGATTACCAGCTCTCAGCTCCTCTCCTCTGTCAGCGTGACAGCTCGTGAGGAGAGGAATGCCGATAACCGCCATTTCCCTATTTACATGTGATCAGCTGTGATTGGACACAGCTGATCACATGACAGAGCCAACATCTTTCCTTTGATTGGTGATCCGCTGTGTCCCGCAACCACGCACACGTGGTTAGAGTGGGAGGATGTCATATGACTCCTCCCAGAACGAGAAAACCGCCTTGCGCCCGTCATTACCTTATATGGTGGGCAGGAGGCGGTTAAACAAAGATTGTAAGAGACTTGGAAGCACCTTTTGGAAATGTACATTCTATGGCCTGTTACTGTCACATTCATAGGCCACACTGCAGAGGAAATAGATCAATCACAGTATATAAAAAAAGAATACAGAAATAAATAAAAAAGGTGTTTATAGAAGGAAAATTGTGGCATTACAACCACATTGTGCAACTTGTCATGCGATTTTGGACATCAAAGTTGCATGAAAAGTCGTACTCCATGCTTTCCAATGATAACCATTCATATATGTGCAGCTTAAAGTTGCAGCGACTTCAGAGTAGTTCCTGGAATACTTTGGTCTGACTTTCATGCAACTCGAGGGCCATAGACTTCAATGTTTACCCTCTAAAGTCGCATGAAAGTCATATCTGATAGTTGTACATGCAACAGTGGCGCAACAGTGGACAAACTTTGCAGATGGACAACAAGTCACATCCAAGTCGCACCCATCCAAATTTGCATCAAAGTTGCACATCAAAGTCACAATACTTTGCAGTCGCACAAGTGTGAATGGAGCCTTAGGTGTGATACTGGACCACATTAAAGGGTCAAGGCACCCAATACTGATTATTTCATGTGTAGCACCCTCCTAGGTAGCTAGGGGGAGCTAGCTCAGGTTTTCAGCTAGGAAGGCTGAATAGCAGCCTGGGCTGAGTCAGAGGGGTTATTTTAGGTCAGGGCTGAGGGGCTCTGCAGGTCAGTTCCCTGACATCTCTCCCTGCTCTGGAATTTTGGAGAAGATTCTAGAAGCACTAGGCAGGGGTGAGGAGGGGCTGGCCTGCACACTTAGGGGATCTTGGCCAATCCCAAGCAGGAGGCTTGGCCTGGGGCCAGGGCAGCTTTTAAGTGTGTTAGAGCCTGCTTAGCAGCAGGAGAGTTCAGGTGAAAGATGGAGTGAGCAGGATGTCTGGGAGGGGGCCCAGGGAGGGGCCTATGTACAGGCAGAGGAGCTGAAAGGGAAGATCTTGTCAGGGCAGGAGCTGAGGAACGGACAGGCAGGCCTAAAAACAATGTAACGCACTGGCTGGCGACAAGCACCACCCACAGACCGAAGTCCCCCAGGGCGCGGAGTCTAAGTCCCAGGCTGCCCTTCACCAGGGCCCCTGATGGTGGGGATGGACTTGACGCAGCCAGGAACCAGGTCGCAGCCGAGACACCTCAGTTGCGGTAATGGCCACCGCCAATGGCGTGTAGCTGGTGGAAAAGACAATAGAGTAGTCGGGCAGGCCGGGTCAACAACAACGGGACAAAACGGTACAAGACAGCAGACGAGAATCACAGGTCACGGGCCAAGTTCAGCAACAGAGGGTTAGATCAAAGGAGAACACAAAGAATGGTCAGATTCCAGGAGCGTCACAAGAGTCAGAACAGAGTTATAGCAACACCAAGACACAAGTGCAAAGGGCCTGTGCAGACCACAGGCTTATATGTAATCAGCCACACCCCTCTGGGGGATGGACCTCAGAGACCAGAAGGCATAAAAGATTCCCACCATGCTCTGCAGAAATCCAACATGGATGCCAGCAGCATGGAGAAACATAACCTCTGGGAAAAGGTAGGACCTTGACAGATCTCTCAGACTCATTGTCCCCTGAGAGAGGACAGCCTGGGAAAACCGGGAAGGAGCCACCCCAGTGTAAGGCCTGAAGGCAGCAACCAACCCAGAAGCATGCAGGAGAAGACTGAAGGAGTAACCCCACACACCACCGGGGCCAGGTAAGGGGAAAGGGCATTCAGGTGGGAAACCTGACTAGCCCCCATCTGGGACTGCTGTTCTTAAGGTGGCAGATTCTGGGTCCCCTTGCTCAAGGATTCCCTCAGGCAGCTGGGCGAAGACGAAATTTCATCTGGGGTCTGAGAAGGTACACCAGGAGAGTCTGGATAGCTCTCCAAAGAAGAGAAACCCCTTCTGTGCACTTGTGCATAGTTCCAGGAAGTTGTCCTCAGTTTAACAGTTCCTTGGGCATCCCCATGTTTCCCTCATCCCTATCCAAGTTCAATACCCCTAATAAAACTAAAACAAAAACACCTTCAAGGACTGTTTACTGTCTCTGGAGTGCACGGCTTGAAGGAAAGGCATGTTGACTGGCTGTGCAGGACTATAGGGGAACCCAAATCTTCAGTGACTCCTAAGGGAGTAGTGCTACCAGGGGTGGACTGACCATTTGGAAACTTGGGCAGTGCCTAAGGGCCCGGGGTCAGTAGGGGGCCCCATGAGATGCCCCTGGTACCTTTTTCATAGGCTTTTTTGAGTTTGGGCAAGGACACAGGGGCCCCATGATCCCCTATTGCCCAGGGGCCCCATGAGTTGTCAGTCCGCCCCTAAGTGCTACATATGAATGTGGAAAGCAAATCACGTCCTGCTACAGTCTTCACCTTCCTGTCCAACCACCCAGCGTCAGGAGCAGGTCTCCACGGTCATGAACCACTCCCACACCTCAGTCCTCAAAAGAAAGGGGGGGAAAAGCCGCTCATCGTAAAAGCCAAAGTTAAAAAGTAACTCCACTTTTGTTGAGAAAACCCCTCCCCCCCCCCCCCGGGTGATCTATGTACATTGCAGGGATTTTAAGAAATTTTGTTGCAGATTTCTACCTTTTGTTATGCTGAAGCTATACAAATGCCGTGACTGCTGACTTTTAATAAAAGGATACTTACCTGTCCAAGGATCCAGCACTGTCCTAACCCAGGCCAGTTCTTCGCTGGTCTTCAAGTCCCGGTGCCGCCATGTTTAGTGTGGCAGGCCAGGCTTCACATCCGGCTCCCCACTGCAAATGCACGAGCCGCGTTGCACTTTGTGAATGGTCCCGCAGCCTCCTGGGACTTGTGATGTGTCCCAAAAGGCTGCGGGCAAAGAGGGGGAGCTCATTTGGGTAGAGGGTACCTATCAAAACTAGATACCCGCTCCCTATACAAAAAAGTGTTAAAAAGTGGGAGAGAAGGTGGGGAGAGGACAGAAAAGTGGAACTTCCCCTTTTGGGTGAAATTCCGCTATAACTTTGATTTTTGCTTTGCGCGACTCTCCCTCCCCCCCCTTCCCGAGATGGCTGATATTTCATGGTTTGATAGATGCCAAGGAATTAAACTCACTGACTGTACAATCTCTCTTTTGGGTTGAGATCTCTGCACTGCACAACTGATGTACCCATTATGAGGGGTTCTCACCATCCTTTCTGGATTTTTTTATATTTTATCTTATAAAAATGCAAGAAGAGGAGAGGGAACAAACAAAGGTGGGGGGGGAGAGGGGACCTAAAAGTTCCAGGTGGACAGGATATTGGACAGGATATTTCAGTGTTGGAGTCAGGGCCGGGATAAAGGGTGGGCAAGCGGGGCGGCTGTGCTGAGCGGGGCGAGAATTTGGGGGGTTGTGCTAGAAGGAGTGATTTGTAGGGGAAGATTTCTACTAGGAGGGTGGATTTCTGTTAGGAAGGGGGATTTGGGGGGTGGGGGGGTTAGTGCTAGTGAGGATTATTGGGGGGCATTTGTGTTAGGACAGGATGATTGGGAAGGATTACTGCTAGGAGAGGAGATGTTGGGGGGATTTGTCCTGGAAGAGGGGGATTTGGAGGGGGGGAGGATTTAGGTTCAGAGGGGAAAATGCAACAAGAGGAGAGGGAACACACAAAGGTGGGGTGGGACCTAAAAAGTGTCAGGGCAGGAGCGGTGGAATGGGCAGGCAGGCATAATGGCAGGTTCACGCACCGATTGACGACAGCCACCACCCACAGACCAGAGTCCCTCAGGGCGCGGAGTCTAAGCCCCAGGCTACCCTTCACCAGAGCCCCTGATGGTGGGGATGGACTTGACGCAGCCTGAGACCAGGTCGCGGCCCCCAAGACACCCCAGCTGCGGTAAAGGCTGCCGCCAAATGGCGTATAGCTGATGGGGCCAGATGGGAACACGTGTAGCGTGGTCGGACAGGCCAGGTCGATAACAGCGGAACAGACAATACAAGATGGTAGACAAGAATACTCAGGTCACGGGCCGGGTTCAGCAACGGGAGGTCAGGTAATGGGATAAGGCAAAGAATAGTCTTGTCAAAGCCGAGTCGGTTTCCAGGAAAGTCACGAGAGCTGAACAAGAGCTTGCGGCAAAGGAACATACAGGACACGAATGCAAAGAGCAACTGCAGACAGCAGGCTTAAATGTGATCAGCCACACCCTTCTGGAGGAGGAGCCGCAGAGGCCTGAGAGCATAAAGGCTCCCACCATGCTTTGCAGAAACCTAAGATGGATGTCAGCATATGGAGCAACACAAGCTCTGAGGAAAGGTAGGACCTTGACAAAAAGTCTCAGGTGGACAGGATTTTGCAGTGTTGGAGTCAGGGCCGGGACAAGGGGTGGGCAAGAGGGGCAGCTGTTTTGGGCGGGGCAAGGATTTGGGGGAGGTTGTGCTAGAAGGGGTGATTTGGAGTGGGGATATTTCTACTAGGAGGGTGGATTTCTGTTAGGAAGGGGGATTTGTGGGGGGGGGGGGGGTAGTACTAGTAAGGATTATGGGGAGAGATTTGTCTTAGGACAGGATGATTGGGGAGGATTAGTGCTAGGAGAGATGTGGGGGGGATTTGTCCTGGAAGAGGGGGATTTGGAGGGGGGGAGGATTTAGGTTTAGAGGGGAAAAAATGCAACAAGAGGAGAGGGAACACACAAAGGTGGGTTGGGACCTAAAAGCCCCAGGTGGACAGGATATTGCAGTGTTGGAGTCAGGGCCGGGACAAGGGGTGGGCAAGAGGGGCGGCTGCTTTGGGCGGGGCAAGGATTTGGGGGGTTGTGCTAGAAGGGGTGATTTGGGAGGGGGGGGAGATTTCTACTAGGAGGGTGGATTTCTGTTAGGAAGGGGGGATTTGGGGGGGGTGTACTA